TATAATTAAACTCAAAATGGCCCCCATATCCATTTAGACAACAGAGCCATCCCGGAATCTTTTTAAAACCCATTTGGCCTTTTTGTTGTTTAGCCGTTTTCAGTCACGTCTGACTCTTCTCGATGCCTTTCTGGGGTTTTCTTGGCAAAGATACTGGATTTGTTTGTCATTTCATTCTCCAGTTTGGCCCTACCCACACACTTGGACTGCTTGGACAGCTTTCTTCTAAGCCTAGGCGTTGCAAGTAGTGATGAGCTGAATTTTTTTTCTTTAAATGAAATGCTTAAACTAAAGTCATAAAGTCATATTAATAAGTCTAATGCCTTGATGCTAACCCCCAACAGTGGCACTGCCAGTAACACATAATGTCCAGTTCAATCCAGGTATATCTTAGTTTATATTTAATCAGAAAAATAAGCTATTTCAAAAAGATACCTAGAGATGAGCAAGAAATAGTTGGTTACCATTCTGTAACCTCAGATTAAAAGTTTAAAGAGTACCCAACTGAAAATAGATACTGATCGTTTTTTTTAAGATTGTAACTGTAATTGTGATTGAAAATGATAAAAGGAAATAAAAGATAACAAGTGCCTCTTCAGAGAGGATATATCTGATAAGTAAAATATCTATAGATGAGATCAAATTAAAAACTCCTACATGCACAACTAAGCTTTCCGTGTGTGTGGCCAAGAGAAGAGTTAATGGACTTTAATTAAATGTTAGAATTCACAGGAGTTTCAGAAGGAGCTCTAAAAAAATGGTACTCCTAAGAACAAACCAAAAATATAATTCAAGGTTTAGGAGCTTAAAGCAAAGAAAAGAACAGAAGAAAAGCCTCAGGAAAGTGGCTAGAAAAGACTGGAAGTTCATCTGTAGGATCAGAGGCTTAACTTCACAGAAGAATGACTGAGACCTTCTTTTTATGAATGAAATGTAGGAGAAATTCGTAAACCAGTGGGCCAGTGGGAATCAGGCCATCAATTACCAAAAAAAAAAAAAATCCTTACTGCTTTGCCAATGTTTTACATACAGGATTATAGATTCAGAGGTGGGAAAGACCTTAGAAGTAAGATAACACAAGCTCCTTCAATTTATAGATGAGGAAACTGAGGCCCAAAGAGTAACTGACCTAAGATCACATAGTTATTGAGTAAAAAAGCAAACAAGAACTTATCTAGCACCTACTACATGCCAGGCACTATGCTAAGAGCTTTACAAATATTATCTCCTTTGATCTTCACAGCAACCCCGCAAGGTAGGTGCTATTATTATCCCCATTTTACAGTTGGGTAAACTGAGGCAAACAATGCTTAAGTGACTTACCCAAGGTAACACAGGTAGTAAATGTCTGAGGTTGGATTTGAACTCAGGTCTTCCTGACCCCAAGCCTAGCGCTCTACCCACTGTGCCACCTAGCTGTCTCTGAAGTTCCAGAGCTAGGATCTGAATCCAATGTTCTTTCCACTATACCACACTGCTCCTCCATCTAAGAAATGATTTTCTAAAGTATTTTGAGGATTAGTTAATACTTGTACAGTATCCCAATTTCATTAAGTGTCTGACATATGAACTTATGAATGATGAGAAAACGAAAAGTCTAGTGGTTTGGTTGAATTTAGATAAAATAATAATAATGGGGTGAGGAGAGACAACTCCTAGCGAGGAACACTTTCTACCAATGCAGGTAAGCAATTACTCTGAAACTTATAGTTTTTGAGAGTCGCTCGGGGTGTGGAGGGAGAAGTGAAAGCAGTTGTTGGGGGCCACCAGCCAAGGCGTGTCACAGATGGGGCTCAGATATAGATCTACCACATTTCAGGTCATGGTTTCTTTCCACTACACCATATAATCTATGATAGCAATGCTAATGCTACTACTATTCCTCTTCTTCCTCCTCCTCCTCCAAGTACTAATTAATAATAATAAATATTGCTCACTTCGTTAACATTCCATAGTAGTGCAGTGTATAAAGCACTGGGCCGAGAGTCAGGAAGACCTGAGTTCAAATCCAACCCCAGATACTTAATAGCTATGTAACAATGGACAAGTCACTTAACCCTGTTTGCCTCAGTTTCTTCATCTGTAAAATAAGCTGGAGAAGGAAATGGCAAATCACTCTAGTTTCATTGCCAAGAAAACCCCAAACGGGGTCATGAAGAGTCGGACACGACAGAAAATGACTGAACGACGATAACAAACCCCTGGATAATTTGCTTAACCTCTGTTTGCCTCAGTTTCCTTATCTATAAAATGGGGATAATAATAAAATCTACATCCCAGGGTTGTTGTAAAGATCAAAAGAGATAATATTTGTAAAAGCACTTAGCGCAGTGCCTGGCAATAGTAAATACAATATAAATGCTGATTCCCTTCCCCCCCCCCATGAACCCCATTTTGGAGAAAATAATCACAGTTGATTCCATTAACCCTCTGAGGTTGGAGAAAGTATCTTTCTCCAGCTGGGAATTAGGGAAGCCAAAGCATGAAAAGTTTAAGTGGCCAGCAAGTTCACCCTGGAGCTTGGGATGAGTCACTTCAAGAGCTTTGTCTAAGAGTCATGTGTCTGATTTCACAATTCTTTTCAAGCCCTCAAATTTGCAACTTGTTTGGTGAAACATTAAATCTTTCCTTACCAGAGCTGCCAAAACCCTTGACTGGTGTGACACACCTCACTCAGCTGGTTTTGAGTCCAGAGCAAGAAATCAGAGCAGTTACCATTTTTTTCTAAATTGTATTATTTCTATTCTTTTTTTTTTTTACTCTCTCTAACTTCCCCTGCCTATCCCCAGTACCCGTACAAGCAACAATGATTTTACTGCACTAGGAAATGTTGCTGGTTTTATACACCGAATGAATTGTAGTTAATTCCCTAGCAGTAAACAATCAGTTTTTCCAATCTGTATTTCCCAGAAGACCCATTCAGGCACTACTGCTTAAATGATTCATTCAAATATGCAGTATGTCAGTGGAAGTAAGAGAACATTTTAATGTATTGCTTCTCTTGGGGAAATCATCTTTGGGGTTGGAACTAGAAAGCCAAAGAGTTCTGGGTCTTATTAAAGTATAATACTGCTTCTAAAACAGCAGAATACAATTAAATTCTTAACAACATTTTATACCTAACTTCGAATGACCTACATTTGGAAATACAATGCACAATCAGCCTCTAATTTGCCAGAATCAAGATTTCCTGAGATATGTCCTAGAGCCCCTGTTAATGTTGTGCTATTGTTAATGATGTGCTATTGGCCCCATGGTCTGGTGAAAAAAGCATTGGCCTAAGGAGCCAAAGGCCTGGATGCCATTTTAGCTATGCTATTCACTACCTGTGTGACGTTGGACAGGTTACATCCCTTCTCTGGGGTTCTAAGTTTCCTCATCTATAAAATGAAGGAATTGACTCACTGAGCTGGAGGGAGCCCTCCACCTCTGATCAAGTATTTCTAGGCTGGTGTTGAAGATCATTTTGGCTACCAAGTCTTTTCTGCTTAAAATTTCCACACCGCCTCACTAAATTTCATATAACTACTGTTGCTAAACCTTGACTTCATTTTCCCTCCATTCAATCAATCAACAAGTGTTTATTAAACCCCTAACTATCTGCCAGGCCACTGGTAATACAAAGATTAGAGACCCAAAGGAAACAGCCCCTGCCATCAAAGAGCTTACCTTCTAAGGAGGGGAAGGTAATTGATTGACACTTACTTCTGTAGGAATATACTAAATAATTCAACATCGTTTCGTTGGGAGCATTCTAGTGGCTGGAGTGGAGCAGGAAGAGATCATGAAAGACTTCATTTAGAAGGCGGCACTGAAACTGAGTTTTGAAAAAAATAAGGGATTCTAAGAGGTGGAGGTGAGGAATGAGGGTATTCCAAGCATGAGGGACAGCCAGTTCAAAGGTACAGAGATGGGAAATGGAGTATCGTGCATGAGGAATGGTAAGAAGAATGGTTTGACTGGACTGTAGTATGAGGCAAGTAATGTATAAGGTTCTAAGGTAGACTGGGCTACATTGCAAAAGTCTTTAAAAGCCATAACCAGTTGTTATTTTTTTTCTGGAGTTAAATAAATCAATCAATTAACATTTATTAAGCACCTACTTTGTGCCAGGCACTGAGCTAAGTAAGCACTAAGGGACATAAAAAGAGGCAAAAGAGGTTCCTGCCCTCAAGGAACATACAATCTAAAGGAGGAGACAACATTCAAACAAAGCAAGCTATACACGGGATAAATAGGAAATAATGAACAGGAGGAAACTATTAGAATTAAGAGGCATTGGAAAAGGATTTCCACAAAAGATGGGATTTTAGTTGGGACTTAAAGGAAGCCAAAGAGGTCAGTAGGTGAAGGTGAGGAAGAGGAACGTTCCAGGGATGGGGGACAGCCAGAGAAAATGTACAGAGCTGATAGATGGAGTAACTTGAATGTGGAAAACTTCTCATAGCTGTGGAGAAGCCCCTGGCTATGGCTCTCTCCTCTTAACAATCCTACAGGTCAGTAATGTGTGCCGAATTAAACCTAAGGGCATATGTGCTTTCTTAATGTATTGACTTTTGATCATCAATAAGCAAAATGTTTGGGGAGTGTTGATTTATACAGCCTCATGTTTTTAAGCCTAATAATAATTTAAAAAAAACAAATCTAAATAATTCCAGGGCCAATATAAATAAGCCTTGCTCAAGTGTCTACAAAGGGAAAGAGTACTCTAATGAATAATAAAATATAGATCCTCAATAAACACCCAAATCAATTTATGATGAACTTAACCAATCACCACAATTCTGAGCCTCAGTTTCACCATCTTTAAGATGAAGGTGATGTTATTATTTCCATCTACCTCCCTCACTAGGGTGTAATCATATCAGGTCCTTGGGGTACTTGAAGACTCCCTGAAAAACTTGAAAGAAGGGAACGAGAGAAATAAGAAGAAAGAATCAGAAATATGAATGGTATTATTTAAGTGTCTGAATTTTCTTTCATTATGATTCTCCACACAGAACAACCTGGCAAAGGCGATGGTCAAAGAACTGGAGGCATTGTACAACACAAAGTATACCTACGGTCCTGGAGCCACGACCATCTGTGAGTGCCTGATTTACCCCTGTACCCACCAGCAAATGCTAGTCAGAGTAAATAAAGCATGTCCATGGCTCTTTCTGGCTGACAACTTAGCCCTCTCTTCCAAAATATGTAGCACGTGACTTTAGCTCAACTGTCAATATTTTTTTTCTAAAACATGGAATCATAATCAGACTTCTGTTTCAGAAAGGATGTGGGTGGGGCAGGGGGACAGCAGCCCCTTTCAAACCACATAACCATGTGCTAGGCCTAGATATTTTGCTTACTCCTTCCTCAGACACAAAGGAACATGATGGAGATTAGATATCTTCTAAGTGCAGATACAGACAGGATCTGTACATCATATTTTCAATTTCCATTTATATCCTGAATTGCTCACTGCCTGATTTACTTTAGATTCATTTTAATCATAGGACCAGTCAGCTTACATGAAATACATAGTTAGTGTGTACATATCCTGATTCTTTTTTTAACAAAGGCTTTAATTTTCTATACACATCACTTTAACGAAGAGACAGACAAGTTTAATCACCCCATCCAGAGAATCCCTAAAAGAATTGGCTTTTACCATGGAAGCAATTACTCCTCTAAGTTCCTCTAGATTTTGGTGACAATTTCTACACTACAGTTATCATTTAAAATACTGCGCTTCCTAGGGAAAAAAAAAACAGAAAATTCCCCAGAAAATAGGTTTTTTAAATACTTGCAAATGATTATAACCATCTTCTATACAAAATATAGAGTACGTATTAATGTACTATTTACATATAGATGAGAGACTTTAAATGTAGTCTATTTATCTGTAAATATAGTCCATAAACGCTTCCACACACTGCCTGCATGATGTTGGGAAAGTTATTTAACTCCCTGGGCCTCTGTAAAAGGAAGGGGGTTTAAATAGATAACCTTTAAAATTCCTTCCAACTAGAAAACATTTAGGGGTAGCTAGGTGGCACAGAGGATAGAGCTCTGGTCTTGGAGTCAAGAGGACCTGAGTTCAAATCTGACCTCAAACACTTGACACTTCCTAGCTGTGTGACCCTGGGCAAATCACTTAACCCCAATTGCCAAAGCAAAAAATAAAATAAAATTCTTTCCAACTCTATGTCTATGAACCTATAAACCTTCAAGATGTCCCTCCCATACTCCCACTTTTTGTAACATTACCAACACTATCACAGGAATACAGTGAACTAGAAAAACCAGCATCCCTGTCCCATGTTATTTTTTGCATTTGATCATTTATAATTAGCAAGGAAAATCCTGGTGGATCTCATATTTTGTTTTTTGTTTGTTTGCTTGCTTGTTTTAACCTATGATTTCACCAGTGTAAAGAGCTCAGCTGGAACAGGAAACTCGTTTGTAAATTATAGTCTTGGAATATTACCAAGGACACCAAAAGCTTACATGGCTCATCCATGGTCATACAGCTAGACTGTTTCAGAGGCAGGACTAGAAACTGGGTCTTCTTGACTCCAAAGTTGATTTTTTTCTCCAAAAACACAATGATGCCTGTTGGTGAATTTAATAGAGCGAGTAAAAATCTATTGGTTGAAGATGAGTTTTTTCTCCCTCCTACTCATTTGTGCCCCCTCACTCAAATATTAAACCTCTCTTGGTTCCTTCCCTACTGCCTTCAAATATGACCAAGTCTCCACTGTCCTTGAAAAGCCTTCACCAGGCCCTCCTATGCCCTCAAGCTGTCCTCCAGTATTTCTCCTCCCTTTCTTAGTCTAATTCCTTTCTAGAAAAGATGTCTCCTCATCCTCTTTTCCTGCTCTCTCCTTAACTCTTTGAAATCTGGTGTCTGATTTCATCACTCAATAGAAACTGTTCTCCAAAGTTACCAGGGATCTCTTCATTGCTAAATCTTAGGGTCTTTTTTCAGCCTTCACCTTTCTTGATCTATCTATTGCATTTGTTAGCCTTGACCATTGTCCTTTCCTCAACACTTTCTCCTGTCTGAGTTGTGGTGACATCTACCCTCTCCTGATTCTCCTCTCTTACCCTCATGACTGCTCCCTCTCAGTCTCCTTTGCCAGCTCACCAGTCCAATCTCACCCCCTGACTGGGAGTATTTACCAAGATTCCATCCTAGCTTCTCCTCACTTATTCCTCTGCTCAGGTTTCTCTTGGTAACCTCAGCTGCCTTGGGTTTAACTATCATCTCTATGCAGATCTCTCTCTCTCTCTCTCTCTCTCTCTCTCTCTCTCTCTCTGTCTCTCTCTCTGTCTCTCTCTCTCTGTCTCTTTCTCTTTGTCTCTCTCTCTCACACACACACACACACACACACACACACACACACACATGACAGCATGCTCCAGAATTCTTAGAAGTTTTAAATCATTAAAGTTTAAACTGCACTATTAGGACACCCTGTATCTATATATATACACAGATATGTACTGATATATATGTGGGTGTATGCAAATATATACATATATAGCACACATTTATGTATGTATAAAACCTCTGAGTTATCTGCATATAGATTTTGTATATAAACATATATATGTAGGGACATATATGATATGATATGATTTATGAGCAATCTGCATTGGGATGATCATTAAACCCATAGCAGCTGATAAAATTACCAAGAGAGATAGTATAAAGGGACAAGAAAAGAGAGACTGAGAGAGACAAAAAGATGCAGGCTCAGCAATATCTTCTGCAAGATTTAATATGATTTAAATACTTTATGTATATTTGTATTCATTCACTTTATATTTTTGGTGTTTGTATTTACATATTGACTTGTTTTCACTTTCTCTGGAATATAAGCTTTTAAGAAAGGTCTGAGGGACAGCTAGGTGACGCAGGGGATAGAACACCAGTCTTGGAATCAGGAGGAACTGAATTAAATCCAGCCTCAGATACAAAACACTCACTAGCTGTGTGACTCTGGGCAAGTCACTTAACCCCAATTGCCTCACCAAAAAAAAAAAGGATTGCTTCCTTCTTTGTATTTATATACCCAGCATCTAACACAGCACTTAGTATACATTAAGCTTAATAAATGCTTGTTGATTGATTCATTCAATCATGCTGGGTCTATTTCTTCTCATGTTTCAGATCCTGCAGCTGGAGGCTCTGATGACTGGGCCTATGACCAGGGTATCAAATACTCTTTCACCTTTGAACTCCGGGACACAGGAAGATATGGCTTCCTGCTCCCTGAATCTCAGATTAGACCAACCTGTGAAGAGACCGTGCTGGCCATCAAGTATCTCTCCAATTATGTCCTGGAACATCTGTACTAATTTGAAAGGCTCCAAAGAGCCAAGAAAACCTTACTCTTAGATGCAAACTCTCTTGTCTTACTCTCATGAACTCTTATTTTTAATATCTTGAATGCTTTTAGAATTCTGACCTTACCTTTAAGCCACAGAAGTAGTTCAACTATGTCTTAATGTCAATGAAAATAAAAATTATTCCTAATTTAAAAACCAATTGTTTGTCCGCTTCTCTGGCAATTGGAATGGGCAAATGAGAAAATGAGCAAATGGCATTTTCACTTTGGGGTTAGCCACTAGGGAGAATTTAGAAGCTTTGGAGTGTCTGAAGTGGTGTTGAGCAAAAAGTAATCTCTAGACTCTGGTATATTTGTTTATTCATTCCTTCATTCAACAAGCATTTGTTAAATCCTACTATGGGCAAATGGACTATATAAAGACAAAAAAGGGATTGTCCTTGCCATCAAGGGATTTCCATTCAACTAGAGGGATCCAACATGGCAATGGAAAAATAAATGTGAAATATATACAAAGTAAATATGAAGTCATTTGAGAGAGAGAGTACTTCCAGTTGAAGGAATCATTATAGCATATAATACACTGTATATTCCATGAGAAACAAGGAGAAATGTGAGCAAAAGATGAGATTGTGAAGTGTGGGGTCCAGTAAAACACCCCCAAGACTAGTCTTTGTATCCAATGGACATGGAAGGAAAGAGGGAAATATAGTTAATGACAGTAAAAGTTTCCTCAGATGAGAATTGAGCATACTATCATTCACAAGCATATTGTGTATATTTAAATAAATAGGAAATAGACCACAGAGGTGTGAAGAAGGGGGTGTTGGGCTTGCAATCAGGAGGACATAGGTTCAAATCCAGCTTCTGGAACTTACGAACTTACATACTATTAGACAGCATGCTCACGTATGAGAATATACAAATAAATAAAATATAAAAATTTGTCGTTTTTGTTCAGTCATTCCGGTAGCGTCTGACTCTTTGTGACCCCATTTGGGCTTTTCTTAGCAAAGATACTAGAATGGTTTGCCATTTCTTTCTCCAGCTCAGCTAAATACATATGAAGAAGTCAGGGGGACAGCGCACAAGCAGCAGTTGGGGAGCCAGGAAAGGTTTCACACAGAAAGCAGTACTTAATCTGTATTTTGAAGGAAACTGGGGATTCTCTGAGGCAGAATTAAAGAAGAAGTGCGTGCCAAGCATGGATGTCGGCCTCTGAAAAGGCAAAGTAGAATTCGAATCCCACCTATGAGAAATCTAGTTTTCTGAATCATTGAGTATGGAAAGGGGAGGAAGGAAGGAAATAAGCATTTATTAAGCACCTACTATGCACCAGGTACCATGTTAAGAGCTTTACAAATATTAACTCATTTGATCCTAATGACAACCCTGAGAGGTAGGTACTATTATTATCTCCATTTACAGATGAGGAACTGAGGCAGACAGAGGTTAAATGGGTTGTCCAGGGTCACACAGATAATAAGTGCCTGAGACAAGATTTGTACTCAGGTCTTCCCGCCTCAAGGCTCAGCTCCCTATCCACCTATGCCTCCCAAATGCAAATAGTGAAGGTCTTTACAAGCCAAACAGGAGTTTATATTTGATCCTAAAAGCAATAGAAAGCTATTGAAGTGTAGTGGGTTAGGGAACCATATGAGACAAGGAGGATGGTCTAACAAAGGATACTGACAAGAGGTGGCCAGACAGGTAGGAGGAGAACCAGGACGGAGCTGTGTCAGCAAAACCTAAGTAGAACAGAAGGTCTAGGAGGAAGGAGTGGTCAACCATGTCACAAGCTCCAAATTCACAGTAGCAATCACAGATCTCAGTGATGCCTGACTAAGGTCAGAGCAATCATAGGCCTCACAGATCCATACTACAGTCATAGGTTTATCGATCTGAATCTCCATAGTCATGTAGTCTTGCACAAAGGCCCTAGTAGTTTAAGTGACTTACCCAGGGTCACACAGGTATTAATGGCCCACTCTTTCCACATACACTTGACACTAACCTCGGGAACATGAGCCTCAAAAACATGGAATATTATGACTATATATAACATTCAAAACTGTATGTAACTAGTTTTTTTTTTCAAAATCACTAAGTAAAAATTGGTTTATTTCATTGGTGAGAATATTTTTTACATATTTTTAAATATATATAAAATATAAAATATTTTATATAATATAAATATATATTATGTAAAATATAAAAATATATTTTACATATTAGATCCTAAAATGGTGACTAAAATCCCTTCTTGTACTTCAGGCTTCCCTACCATGTACCTTGGGATTACAAACCTTACTTAACCTGTATTAAGACACTCTCTGGCACAGTCAGTACTATTTAATGCTTATAAGTATTCTTGCTGAAAGCAACTCTGTCCCTACACAGTAAGAGCCCTATCTTGAAGGTACAGAAAAACAATTTAAGGCATCATTCTAAGCTCATGCAGAAGGAAAAGGAGCATATGCCCATAAGCATGACAGAAAAATCTGGCTTAATAAAGTTGTTCTAGCAATGTACATGTAAAGGTGAGCTCAAATTCCCTTTCAGTTTTGGCTGACCATATCTATACATGAGAGACCAGGAAGGTGGTTAATAGGAAAGACTGCATATGACCTTTCCCCTTGGGCTTTGATAAGAGCATTTTGTCTATTTGTTCTTAAAAGCTTAGTGTCTGGGGCAAAGAATTTCCTGCTTGAGATAAAAGACCTCTTAGCCATAATTCTAAAAATGATGTGACAGGTCACTCCATAAGGGAAAAAGTCAAGAAGGTTTTGTTGTTTTGTTTTGTTTTGTTTTTGTTTTTCCCGAAAGAAGGCTTTTGCAGGATGGTCTAGATGCTTTTCTAAAAGAAAGATATAAAAGTCTCTGACATTGAACTCTAAAAGCATGGCAAATCTCAGTCTTTCCAGGAAGAAGCGATAACCCAGAATTTCAACTAAAGCCATAACTGCTAGAAAAAGAGACAAGATCCAAGGCCAACTGCCCAATGGGGAATGCTTTACAGTTTTCAGTGAAGCAGTGTCTAAGAAGTATAGCCCAATGGACACCATGATATCAGTAAGAAGAACACTCTCTCTCCACCTGCCACCCAAACCAGAAATAACCTGAGGAAATCACTAGAAAACATCAAGGCTATGACATTTACATGATTTACCCCATATGCATTCACCATGATCACACTTGGCCCTTACGTGTCGGCTCCCCATATATATTCATTATGTGTGTGCGCTCTTCCCACTGATAATACATGCATTTGTGGGAGAGTATGCCTCAGGTTGTGAGATAACTGATTTATTGCCATTTTTCATACTGTAGCATTTTGCTTTGAACTAATTGTATCCTCTGACTATTAAAGGTAAACACATCAATGGGGTTTTTGATTTTAACAGATAACCTTAAACCTGGAAAAGCCTTCTCTGGGTGACCTATCCTTTCAGTTAGAGTATGTCTCCAGGTACAATACACATATGTAGATACATTATGTTAGAGAAGCTATAGAAGGATATGCAAACTTACATGTTGTTGCTAGAACTGGGAACTGGTCCAATTGCCTGGAAAACAAGTTAGAATTATATAAGAAAAGTCTCTGAAGTCTGTGGCCAAGTTATCCTATTACTGGGTATCTAGCCATGCCTGGAATGTTCTCTCTCCTTATTTCTGCCTTCCTGCTGTCTTCCTTTGACTTAAATCAAATCCTGCTTTCTATAGAAAGCCTTTCCTGGTCCCAACCCTCCCTTCCACCTACTGCTAGTGTTTTCCTAATCACATTTACAGTGTATCTGTCTGTATACACAATTTTTTGCATGATGTCTCCCCCATGGGAATGTGTACTCCTTGAGCAACCGTGTTTTTGTCTTTCTTTGTATCCCCAGCTCTTAGAGCACTGCTTGGTATACAGTAGCACTTAATAAATGCTTGTTGACTGCCTGCCTGACCAAAGAGAACTAAGGCAGAAAAAAATATCCCATAGATACCAAAACATACGAGTACTATTTGTGGTAGCAAAAACCTGGAGACAATGTAAGTGACGATGAATAGTGGAAGGGTTCAAAAAACTGTGGAAATTACTGTGCCATGAGAAGTGACAAATATGAAGAATTCAGGATAACATAAGAAGACTCATAAGAACTGATTAAGAGAAAGTAAGTCAATGATATTTGAATTTAATATAGAAGGTCACATCACAAAAATTATAAGAGAAGGGACACAACAGTGAGAAAAACTTGGATAAAATTAACCTATCAGGTATATGACTATATGAAAAGTTCATGACTAAACAAAGTTTGAGTACATAAAATTATTATATACATATATTATTATTATTTAAAATTTTTAAAGTTTTGTACAAAGAAATTCAATAAGGCTAAGATTGGAAAGAAAACATTTCACTGGGGAAAAATCTTTGCAACAATTTTCTCTGACAAAGATCTCATTTCTAAAATATGTGGAACTGATTCAAATTTATAAGAATAAGAGTCATTCCCTAATTAATAAACATTTTAAGGATATGAAGAGACAGTTCCAGACTATTTATAGCCATATGAAAAAATCCTCAAAATTAGTAATAATTAGAGAGATACAAATTAAAGCAATTCGAAGGTTTCATCTCACACTCATTAGATTGGCAATGACCAAAAATGGAAATGATAAATATTAGAGGGGCTATGGGAAAACAGGATTGTTGGTGGACCTATGAATGGACACAACTATTCTGGAAATCAGTTTGGAATTAGACATAAAAAAGTTACTAACAGTGCATGCCCTTTGACTTAAATATAGAACTGTTCAGCCTATACCCAAGAGACCAAAGAAAGAACAAAGTGTCCTATATGTACAAAAATAAATTATAGCAGCTCTTTTTGTGGTGGCAAAAAAAACAAAACAAACGGATGTCCATCAATTGAAGAATGGCTGAAAATAAATTGTGATACATGAATATGATGAAAAAATATTTTGCTGTAAGAAATGTGAGAACAGTTTATTTCAAAGACACAT